CTCCCACTGTATTAGTTTGTTTTCCAGGTTTGAAACCTTGTAAATGGTGATCTGAAAACTGGTGTGCGAATGTGTGAAAAAAAGTTTTGAAACTCTGAAAACAGACTTTTGCAGGCTTGCAAAGGGGTATTTTTTTTAAATCTCTGCAAACATAATTTTGTTTTTGAGTTTTCCTTCTTCAGAAGTGCAACACTCTTTTTTACGGTGTTGTGCAATCATTTTTTCAGAGTTTCGAATTTGTCACTGTTCTCCCAGTGTATAGTTTGTTTTCCAGATTTGAAACCTTGTAAATGGTGATCTGAAAACTGGTGTGCGAATAGGTGAAAAAAAGTTTTGAAACTCTGAAAACTGAGGTTCGAAAGGGCGAAACTTATTACATTACATTACATGTGCACTCCTATTGCAGACTATTTTTTCAGAGCTGAGTTTACAACACCCACTTTGCGGAGATACGCCCACACAGTTGCGAGCTTGCGACTCACGTGATTTGTGGCAGCTTTGTCACGCAGTTCTGCTCTGAAACTCTGAAACTCAGACTGAGCGAAAATGAAGCTTCGCAACCTCGCAACTTAAAAAAAAGCCTGGAGGGAGGGCCTTCTGCTCTTGGCCAATGCTTTGCTGTCTGCTGACGTACAGTCCAATCACAAGTCGTATTTACTGGAAAGGTGGGATTGACCGACTGCTCCGCCAATGACGAAAGCGTATGGGATGAATATAATATATTCATGCATTCTAGAAACGGAGCAATGAATGCACGCATGTCACCTGTCAAAAATTGCACATCTTGTTGCATACACAAGTTCTGAGCTATATTAATACAAAATCGAGGTTTTGTATTAACAACTATATGGCTCAAGTTGTACAAAATGCTGCACATTCATGTGATTCTGGATTTTGCGCACACATTGAATTGTATTAGTTTAAATGTAGTGACGCACATTTATGAATTTGTCAAATAGATGTGTAGTTGTGCCCACATTAATAATTAGCACCAGGCCTATTCATTTGTAGTTGTTTGTGTGTGGGTTGTGAAATGCTTAAAGCCCGTGAAAAGAAAGTCTCAAAATCCAAATGAATCAAATGAGATTGACTCAGAAAAGACGTCAATGAATGCACGCGTGTCACCTGATCCACACTTGCACGTCTTCTTTGTTGGATGCGCAAATTATGAAACACTAATACAAAAGTAAACTTTTTTATTCACAAAAATGTCTCTATTTGTACAAATTGCAAATCTTGTGCGATGTCCTAAACTGCCGAGATAATCACACAAGCGTGCTAGACGTCCACTAATGACACGTCCGATACGCAAACGAATGACTAATTTTAACTATTCACTTTAATGAATAGTTGAAACAACTGACATGTCCAACACTGAACTCACGAGACCTCTGAATCGGTGTATAAAAAATCGGTAACACTTATAGATTAGTTAACATTTACTATCAACAAACTGCACTTCTACAGCATTGTTAATATTAATGTAAATATTTAGAGAGTCTGTATAGGCCCACTATATGTGTTGTAGCCATTAAAAAAGCGCATTTAGTTTCATTTTTGTTAAAATATTATAATGTTATTTTTTTTTCACATCTATGCTGATTATGAAAATTGAACAGCATGAGTAAGATGGATGCGCAATATATCGGAAGATATGATGGGTCAGACATGATTTTGACCACTAAATTCAGTTTTGTTTTGTAGAAAGCCTTTCTTTAAAGTGAATTTCGTTTTGTATAAATTGTATCTTAATTTTAATCAATTTTTCATTAACCAATTGCCTGGATATATAATAAATAAGAAGCAAATAGCTGACAATATGATCATGGAGGCACGGGCGCGATTGCATTGCACATGAGCTGGAGCATCTCATTATAAATTTTGCTCATTTAAATAATAGTGTGTGTGTGTGTGTGTGTGTCGTGTGTGTGTGTGTGTGTATGTAGCCTATATATATATATATATATATATATATATATATATATATATATATAATTGCGCAGCTCCCCCTGTCAATGATCTAGCACCCCCTCGTTAAAAATTACCCGGCGCCGCCCCTGAAAAGGCCTGTTGAAAGGCCTTTGGTTGTGGATAATAAAACATTTCTGCAACATTAATCAAGTTCATTGATAATTGTGCTTGCACGTGTTAATCATTTTGATACTATATTTTTATACAGCACTTTGGCCAACAGCTGTTTTTTTTAAATGTGCACTATAAATAAATATGACTGACCATTTTCATTCCATACGCTTTCGTCATTGGCGGAGCAGTCGGTCAATCCCACCTTTCCAGTAAATACGACTTGTGATTGGACTGTACGTCAGCAGACAGCAAAGCATTGGCCAAGAGCAGAAGGCCCTCCCTCCAGGCTTTTTTTTAAGTTGCGAGGTTGCGAAGCTTCATTTTCGCTCAGTCTGAGTTTCAGAGTTTCAGAGCAGAGCTGCGTGACAAAGCTGCCACAAATCACGTGAGTCGCAAGCTCGCAACTGTGTGGGCGTATCTCCGCAAAGTGGGTGTTGTAAACTCAGCTCTGAAAAAATAGTCTGCAATAGGAGTGCACATGTAATGTAATGTAATAAGTTTCGCCCTTTCGAACCTCAGTTTTCAGAGTTTCAAAACTTTTTTTCACCTATTCGCACACCAGTTTTCAGATCACCATTAACAAGGTTTCAAATCTGGAAAACAAACTATACACTGGGAGAACAGTGACAAATTCGAAACTCTGAAAAAATGATTGCACAACACCGTAAAAAAGAGTGTTGCACTTCTGAAGAAGGAAAACTCAAAAACAAAATTATGTTTGCAGAGATTTAAAAAAAATTACCCCTTTGCAAGCCTGCAAAAGTCTGTTTTCAGAGTTTCAAAACTTTTTTTCACACATTCGCACACCAGTTTTCAGATCACCATTTACAAGGTTTCAAACCTGGAAAACAAACTAATACAGTGGGAGAACACTGACAAATTTGAAACTCTGAAAAATTGTTTGCGCAACATCGTAATTTTTTTTTTGCAGTTCTGAAGAAGGAAATCTCAAAAACAACAATGTTTGCAGAGATATTTTTAATTTGTTTTACATTTTGCAAGCTTGCAAATCTTATTTTTCGATCTTGCAAAACTTTTTTTGTAAGATTTTGAGTTTTCGAACACTTAGTTTCAACCTTTCAGAACTTTATTTTCAGTTTTGAATCATGGCAGGATTTTAATCCCATACTCTTGGCTCAAGCATCCAACAGCATCGTCCTCACTGTAGGCTCTCAGCAACATTAGCACAACCTCTTCAAAGTAGTGCTTCCCTTCCAGCCCAGAACATGACCTGCTGTCTGTAACTCTATGAAAGAACAGCATGTGTGGTGCACTGCAATTGTCTGAATGTATGGACAATTCAAGTGATGAATGAAAAAAATCATGAGTCACAACAATAATATAATACAAAGACATTTTTAGATTTTCTCTCTTTTTGTCGGTTCCTCTTGCCAAATTATTTTATTTTTCTGAAGGGTCCTGGTCACCTGCTTATTTCTAAAGATAAGCAGTCATCAGAGAACCTAATTTTGGTGTTTCTCACTCTTAATCAGAAATGCATAATTTATCTACAGGCGCTCAGACACTTCCAGTTAAAGAATTTCAATGTATCCTTTCATATGTAATTAAATTAATTCCTCTCCGTTATTCATGACATTTCTGTTTGTTTGACCAGTTTTAGCCTGCTTGTGTGAATGTGTCCTCATTTTGGTTTTGTTTTGCTTCCCTAATAGGCACTATGTTGGTAGATAGTGAACCAAAAATGGTTTGTGTGTCTATTTTGAGGGTCCTAGTGAGAAAATAAAATACAACTAACCATAAAATCATGCCTATAACAAAATAAATAGGCTTATCTAACTCTATGGTATTTTGCCACAAATTTATGTCACAAGGTAGAAGCTAGACGAATTAGAAAGATGCCAGCATAGACAGGTTGCATCATCAATACCATATAAACAAAACTTCACAAAATACTGTAAAAAAAAAATAGGTTCACTTGCTAGGAGGATAAACATAGTTTATCTTTTTGGCTTAATAATAAAAAATAAAAAACATTTAAACATTAGGTTATAATGACATGTTTGTTTGATTTATTTTTTGCATGGTAAACAGTGTTGGTGCTGTATTGGGTTTCCACTTGATGTCTATGTAAAATCTGTGTCCTAAAGCAAAACTAGTTGACAGCCATTGTTGGATAATGGTAATGGATGGATAACTGCGTTGAGGCTGTGCGCTGCTGCCATCTTTGGACAGCCTAGCAGAACAGCACTCTGTTAACATAATGTTTTGCTTTTAAATCCTGGCAAACGGACATCTTGTTCTCTAAAAAAATTATGAATTAACAAATGTTGATATGGTTAGGGTTTTGTTAGCATTAGTCTTATTGTTTTAGTGAATAAAATTGTAGTTACATGTTCAAATTGTAGTTTTTTGTTTGTTTGTTTTTTATATCAATAGAGCATTCTGTAGATGTTTTGAATGTGCATTCATATGTATGTTTAGAAAATATGAAGCAATCTGTCATCTTGGTTTTATCTTATTCACTTTAATTTATGCATCTCTTCTGACAGGAGAATGAGAAGTGGTCCTCTAGTGTGCTCTGGCCTAATCATCCGAGGCCTTTATGTTGCTTGATAGACATGGGGAAAGATAAAAGGTTATGGCACATGAAGTCAGTTAAGCCTCAGAGGAGCATATTAATTCAGAGCGTTGCACCATACAGGCTAACCCTTTCCTCTCTCACCAGCAGAAGTGAGGAACTGAATTTAAAATACACTCTTTGCATTCTACTTGAAGGCTGAGTTTTCAAAAGGGGTAATCAGAAGTAGAGATGGATAACTTATGTCAATTTTGGACTGTCTACTAAATGTTTTGAGGGCTATGTGTGAAAACACAATGTGGCTTATCAGTGTCTCTCGGTTGAGTCACAGAATGTAACATTTGTTTCAAGTGAGTCTCTTGGCTTCTCTCCACAGCTGAAACAGAGCGAAGCCAATGCTGATACGAAAGAGAAACTTCCTCTGCGATTACGGATCTTTGAGAAGTTCCCCAATCGACCACAGATGGTGAAAATATCCAAGCTGCCTTCAGACTTCACTGTGCCCAGAATCAGGTACTATGTGCACTGAATGATACCTCATATCTAGTGAATTGTTGAAGATAGGTGTGCTTACTTTTCAAAGTGATCAGACTTTTTCATTTGATGGATGATAAAACGTTCATTACAGGAGGCTCCCAATACATATATATATATATATATATATATATATATATATATATATATATATATATATATATATATATATATGTATCATTGGGCTTTCTTGGTGGTGTCTTCGACTAGTAAGCAACTAGATCTGGATTTTCAACCGGCTACTGTGGCTATATGCTAAAAGCCTTTTTTAGAATGCCTTGTCAATTGCATAGCAATGCCATGGGAACCATCAATCAGATCTTTGTCAGAAAATGAAAAACAAATTTAAACAAGATTTTTCATGAAAGATTCACTCTTCTAAAAACAAACCCGCATACTTGCAAATATACTTATTCCTTTACACTGAATGCCTCCTACTTCGTCCTCAAGAATCCTCTGAAAACATGAAGTCCCTTGTGTATTTGCGTGTGTCTGTTTCGTTATGTGTGTGCCCGTGGGCGTGTGCCACAGGGAGAGCTTCATGAAGCAGTTCATCGACCGACAGCAGCAGGACCCCAGCTGTCTGTTCCGTCGCCTTCCCTCAGCGTCGTCCTCATCCTGCGACCATTCCAAGAGGTCTGCCATTGAGGATAATAAATACATAGATCAGAAGGTACCACACTCCATAACTCCCACATAACTGCCCCCTCAGTACACACAGGGACTAAACAATAAGCTTATGAATGCTCTGAAAGGAACAGATCCATTTCCCACGCAACAAGACCTAAATAACCAGCAGTTATATAACAATATTTTGTTGATTATATTGGGATGCTTTTATTTGCTGATATAAAATTGAGCTTTACCCACATACTAATACAGTAGTTGTTTGTAAATGTATATGTCTGAATTATACTGCTTATTGATCTGTGTGCATCTTACTGTGTAAACCTCTTTTTCTTCCTAGCTCCGAAAGTCAGTATTTAGCATCCGAGCCCGTAACCTCATAGAAAAGGAAACCACTGTCAATAAAATTCTGCGGTGAGATTTCTGATTTTCAGCAAATTGATGTTTATCAGCTTTATTTTATTTTATTTTGTTTTATTATATGAAGTTTATTTTTATTTTTTTATTATTATTCTATTTCAATGGCTGGGATTGATATTATGATATTATGCTTAGCATTATCCTGACAGGGCTAGAAAATGAATACCATATATTAATTTAAAAAAGTCCAAATGAATCGATCTGTAATAAGGGCAATTTTATTTACAGTATGAATCATGATTTTTGTCATTCTAATGTGTAGATATGTGCATGTAGATATGTGCATACAGACAGTTAGTGAATGAGACCCAGTGGTTTTTCCATCAAGCAGAAATATTGAAATGAATTTGGATTAGGATATTTATTCATGTTATAGATATCTGTGATTTGAAATTAACAGCATTGCTTTTCTCTGGCTGCCATAGGCAACAACAATTAATTCCTATACAGGGTAAATGTGTTTTCATTTCAACCCTCCATTTACATGATTTTGACTCCATGTTTGTCATCCAGCCAGCCCAGCAGTCAAAGCAGATAATGCCGTCTCCATATCACTGTTACTGTTAGTGGGTCACCTGTGAGTGTGAATGAACATATTCATATTTTAAAATCTGGCAGCGATGCAGCCAGATATTCCCACACTTTCCTTCAACCGTTCTCGTCTCTGTCGTTAAGTTTCAGGTCACGTCGATGCCGTCCCCCACCTCCCTTGTGTTACACACACTCATACACCTCACCTTGTCCACCCCTCCTCCTGCTGCTAAGCAGACAGACGGCACATCAGTAGCCATCCCACGTCGTCTGTGCCGTCTGGGGCATTCGGTCTGTCTGCATACACACATGCAGACACACACACTCTTCATCAGCCAGGCACTCATCACTCTGAGTGGCCATAAATAAGGGCGACATGTTCTCTTGAAGCTGAAATTGTCATTAGCTGTGTTCTGGTACATGACTCTGCAATAATGGACAATAGAGAGGCGGTGGTGAGCAGCAGGCTTTTTAAAGCATACATAGATCAGCGCTGATTCAGAGCATAAACAGCCAATGGGATCTCAGCGGCGGAACAATCTCCCAATACCAATTATAGCAATAGCCTCACCAGTTACATTTCATCTCAACATATCTTTTGCTTTTAATAAACCATCAGAAAACACCACACGGTACTGCAGTACTGCAGGTTTTGTTACCTGTTTAAGCAGTTGTCACAAACACAAAATATGGGTCTTCAAAAAATGGTGCAAAAATGCAGGAAAATTACTATTCCTGCTGGACTTTCCAGAAATCAGAATTTCACACCTCAAATCCAGAGTTCATATCACATCACATTAATTATTGTCATTATTCTTGTGCAAAAGCAGTATTTTTTTTCCTTCAGTAAATGCATAAATAATTTTAGAAAAACAACTACATAGTAGGCCTATTTTAAATTCAATAAAAGTAAAATTTAGGTTAGTTATTTTTTTATTCCATGAAACCAGTGTTGCCAACGAGTTGATTTAGCAACTTTTCAGACACCTCTAGCGACTTTTTTCCAAAAAAAACGCCTAGCAACAGATCTTGGACAAGCCTTATCTAGTTTCCGAGACTCGCCGCCGGTACTGCCGCACTAGCGCGAGGTTTTGATTTCCCACCGCGCACACACCTCTCTCTGTGTCTACTCTGTTCAGTGAGTGGCTGAGCCTGAGAGGAACAACGCATTCAGTTAAAATAGACAATCTGTTGCTTCTAACCTAACCATAGCCGAAATCACAGCTCATCCATTGTCTTTATCTTATGTGTTTGGTGAATTTGTCAGTCGATGTCTCAATTATAAATCAGGATTTTAGTGCAGATTAACAGTTTGGAAGGGAGAGCTAGTTAACATGTAGTCTTAATGGGCTGCGTTTCAGTCACTATTTCATATTCCTCCCGTTGTCTGACAACGGAAACAATTAAAACAGTTTTATTGGAAATTTGGCTATATTAAAATACAGTATGTGAGCACAGAGAGAAGAGAGAAGCAAACAAATATAAAAGACTGAAACAAGGCAGAATGCAAATACTACACAATTACATGGTGAATATGCTAATTAGCGTATGACGCCATCTAGTGACATTTAGTGTCTTTTCTTGCAGGCTTTAGCTACTGTCCATTGAAAGAAGTTGGCAACCGTTCATGAAACCGAAATGTAATATGATGAATGAGAAGAAATTAGATATTTCAGTTAATCCCTTTAAAGATAAAATTATGGTTAATTTCATTCTGTTAATTATTTGCACTGTTCACTAAACTTTGATTGTGTGATTAAATTTAAAGTCACAAAGTTAATCTACCAAGTAATGCAAGTAATTTAGTATGCTGTTAAATTAATCAGTATTATTAACTAATGGAAAAATACAAATAGGGTTGTTACCTTTGAATGACCCATATGCATACTGAATGTTATTTTGTGTTAATTTTTTTTTTGTCAGAACTGGAACTTGAGCCTAGTAGATATGTAAACTCGTATACCTATATTAAGTGTGCCAAATTTTTCCCTGGAGATTAATTCCCTCCTACTGCTTCAACTTCACTTCACTGTTAGCCTGAATTTTCAGTGCACCACAGGTCACATTTGATCACTCTGAAAAAAGGATTAGTTTCCTTTGTAATGATTGCACTACAATAGAGAATATTCTTTATTTTAGATTCACAACGAAAATCGGGAGATAAACAGAGAAAACATGACCACTAAATACAGACAAGATCAGACAAAAAGGGGCTGTTTACACGACACTGGTTTCAACTACTTTTTACGAACTTTAAACTTTTTATGCGTTTTGGTCGTTCGTTTACATGACAACAGCGTTTTGGGTTTTATCAACAGGAAAATGGGTTTCAAAGTGCAAGTTCTTGAAAACGCTCTCTGTGTAAACAACAAAAACGCAAATCTCTGAAGACGATGACCTCATGCACATGCGTATTACGTGTTCAGTCTATAGGGTTTCATCGCCCTCTAATGTCCTGGCAGCAGAATACAGGGTTTTAGTCGTTTTCACGGATTCGTCTGAATGGGGATCGTTTTGACATTGGTGTCGTCTGTACGCGAAAAAATCAAAGGAAAAACCTCTCCGTTTTAAGCATATCTTTGTCGTGTAAACGTACCCTACAAAAACAGACTAAACGAGGGAACTAATGAGTTAATTAACAACAGGTGAACAGAATGAAACAGGCACAGACATGGAAATTAGGACAACTTAGAATGACAGAACCCAACACAATAAACAGAACAGAATCCTGACATCCTCTCTTTGGGCACCCCATTCCTTAAAACTGTCTCCACCTGCACAACACAGTATAAGCTAATAAGAGCCATCTGCTGTGTCGGACGTACAACAGAGTACATGACAGTCAATAGTGCCATTGCTTACAGGGTGTTCACTGATGATCATTACATAATCTTGTACATTCAAAGTATGTAAAACTCTTTCAGCAGGGTGAGTACTGTACCCAAACAAATGCATTAGTTTAGAAACGACATGAGCTTTTGTAATGTGACTTATTTTTGAGTGAAACAGAATACTCAGCGAAAATAATTTAGGATGAGACTTCTAAATGGAGATAGTTATTCGATTTTGATGATGAAAACTTTGTACATGTTCTAATGAATCATATGCAGTATAACTACACATTTAAATTAGAAGTTAGTTAACATTTAAAGTTATCTTAATATTGGCTGGACAGCCAGACAAGTCTCATGATTGCATTTAAAAAAAGAAAAAAAAAAGAAAAGAATACCACAGTCATAATTTATTAATTTGCTCTTGACCTAGTTATGGTTTTTCTGTTTTTTTTTTTTCTTCAGAGCCTGCACCAGACAACGTATGCTGAGTGGTTCCTTTGAGGGTCAGCCAACTAAAGAGAGATCTATACTCAGTGTCCAGCATCACATCCGCCAAGAGCGCCGGTTAGGAAAGCACATTAACATGCTTTCACATACTCATCTGTTTAATTTATTAAAGGAGCACTGGATGGATGCATATTAATAAAGTGCACTACAATATGCTAGTGTGCACTGCATTGACCCGCTCTTTTTGGCACAGGTCCCTCAGACATGGCTCTACCAGCCAGAGAATCAGCAGAGGGAAATCCCTGGAAACACTCACTCAGGATGTGAGTACACACACACTCAGATATCTTTGAGTAATAGCTGACAGTGCTATCTGTGTCTATCTGTGATCTCTGACATGCTTGTGAACTCTGCAGCACTCCAGCACGGTCCGTTACCGTAACGCTCAGCGTGAGGACAGTGAAATCAAGATGATACAAGAGAAAAAGGAGCAGGCTGAGATGAAACGGTATTTCTGCCACTCCATACACTTGCCTTGGCATGTGGTCAGTTGAACAGATTTTATCTCCTCTCCCCCTCTCCCCAAACAAAACATGCCATGTGGGAGTTATTGCACCCTATCGTTCTCTTGTACTGTATGCTGATGGTGGCATAGTGCCATTGGTATATGACATCAAGACATTTTGCACAGAAGCAAAGCTTTTGTTTCTGGTTGGCTGTATTTGTTTGCCATGTACAGAGGGACTATAAAAGTGAAATAATTTTAGCTGATTTACAGATACAGTATGCTTTAAGAACTAATAAGGTCCCTTCTGTACCCAATATCTTATACTTATTTTTGATAAAATCAGTGTTTGCAGCAGATGAGATTTCAAATGCTTTTGATGCTTTTTTTTTTTTTCATTCACAGAAAAGTCCAAGAGGAGGAACTTCGGGAAAACCATCCATACTTTGACAAGCCACTCTTCATCGTTGGTAGAGAGCACCGCTTCCGAAACTTTTGCCGAATGATCGTGCGGGCCCGTTTCAATGTGTAAGACCAAAGCTAATACAAATCCATTGCATTATATTATTAGTTACAGTAGCATTTTCATCCGCATCAATGAGATGACTAATCCCTTTGTTCCATAATCACAGAAAATAATGTCATGTTGTTTCACAAACTGTTGTGTGTATGTGTTTTCCATTTCTTTGCTGACACTGTGTTAATGGGCTTTTTATGAATAGGTCTAAAACGGATCCCAATACAGGCGCAGTGAACAGCACAAAATACCATCAATTATAGTAAGTCTGTAAATGTTTAGGGCCTTTGCACTATCATAGCCTGATAATATACACAACGATTTTTTTTTCATATTTACAGGAAAGTTGAGTGAAATTCAGAATGAAAAATTAAAATTAGAATGAAAAATTATAGCAGCATACACTTACATTTATTCTTACATACACTTACATTACTTAAATGTAATGCAAATGAAATAATACATTATATAATTGTAAAATATTAATACATTCTGGTAAAATTTATTTTGAAATAGTAAACAAAAAGTACAAAAAAACTCAAAAGTTAAACAACATATGGATGCATTACATTAATGAAAATATGGAGGAGAAATGTGCTTAATTGGCATGAAAATAATGTCAAAATAATTTCTTTTTTTAAAATTTTTGGGGTCGAAAAGGTTTCCTTAAGATTCCTTAATTTATATGTCTGATTTGATTCTAGAAATGCAATATGAGTATTGGCTTTGTAAAGTTTTGCCAGGGTGAGTTAGTGTGGGATTAGATGAAAACTTTTCGGCTGCATTGTCCTAGAATGATTTCACCAGTTCCAAAGATCTGCAAAATTAAGACATTTTACAAAGCAAAACACATTAAGACCAAATTTACACAAACTCAGACTGTAGGAAAATAGTAGGAAAAATGCAGAGTAGAAAAACCATGTTTTGTCACATTCAACCTACACTAAACCTTGCATGTGTGTGTGTCTGTGTGTTCTCCAGTGATTTGCTGGGCTTGGTAACCTATCTGGACTGGGTGATGATCGTGGTCACCATCTGCTCTTGTATTTCCATGATGTTTGAGTCCCCTTTTACTAGGGTCATGCATGTCCCTACCCTGCAGGTATTCTAAACCCAACCGGCCACCATTCTATCCCACACAAAACATCCAACTAACTTTTTTAATCTGCAAATATTCCTCATCTCTTTCCTGAAGGCTGGTCATCATGTCTCATTTCTGTTGCAGTCCAGCACTTTTGATTGCCACTCCCAACTAATTTTGCGATTTTACTTTTGAGCACATTTTGTCATGATCCCCACTGATTTAGGCTACTTTGGAATTCACCTATGTTGACTTTGAATGTGAATATTTATAGGGTGCCTCTGTTTCAAGATTGTGTGCTGTCATTTATGATACAGAAAGATTTAACTGATTGACTTTCTGCTCTTGAAAGTCTTCTGTCTTTTTTATCCTGGCCTCAGTTCTGTCCCGACACTCCCAGTCTTAAAACCAGGCCAACAAACAAGGAAATGTTATGACCGTCTCGGTTACTGATGTAACCCTCGTTCCCTAAAGGAGGGAACGGGAGACGTGACGTCGACATGACGACGTAATTGGGATCACTTCAGGGAGCCCTATCAACTTCGAGTGTCTACAGAGCGAGCCAATGAACGTTGGCGTGCGTGAGAAGCGTCACGCGCCCCGCAGCGCGGGTATAATCAGGAAGCGGGCGCACGCACTCATTGTTTTTCGCTGAGGAGCTGAGATTGGGACGGCCGTACAGCGATGGTCAGCAACCGTAGGGGCGGGACCTGACCGTGACGACGTAATTGGGATCCCATGGAAAACGCCACGATTGCTGCCACATCCAGCGCCCTACGCAAGACTCTCAGACCCCCAACTGACTGGGGCGGAAGGCCTGCGTAGAGGGAGTTCGGACTGCTGCTCTGTTATAACCCACACAGTGGAACTCTTGGATAACACTGGGAAGCGTGCCTTTCCAGGGGAAGGGGGCGCTGCGGAAGCACAAGAAGAAACCGGCTCAACACGTAGGCTATAAAACCTAGCGAACGTGTTAGGTGTCGCCCAGCCCGCAGCTCTACAGATATCTGTCAGCGAGGCGCCGTGTGCCAGCGCCCAAGAAGAAGCGACACTCCTAGTGGAGTGGGCTCTCAACCCGGGCGGGCAAGGCATGCCTTGGGCTTCATAAGCCAAGGCGATGGCATCCACTATCCAATGGGCCATCCTCTGCTTGGAGACAGCCTTTCCCTTCTGCTGGCCTCCATAACAGACGAAGAGCTGATCTGAGGTCCTGAGGCTTTGCGTTCTGTCCACGTACAGGCGCAGAGCGCGGACGGGACAGAGAAAAGCCAGGGCTGGGTCTGCCTCCTCCGAAGGCAGCACTTGCAGGTTCACCACCTGGTCCCGGAAGAGAGTGGTAGGAACCTTGGGCACGTATCCGGGCCGGGGTCTCAGGATCACGTGAGAGTTAGCCGGGCCGAATTCTTGGCACGATTTGTCGACCGAAAATGCATGCAGATCCCCTACCCTCTTGATGGAAGCCAATGCAACCAGGAGTACTGTTTTACAGGACAGAATTTTTATCTCAGCTGACTGCAAAGGCTCAAAGGGTGGTCTCTGAAGAGCCGAAAGGACCAGAGACAAATCCCAAGAGGGTATAGAGAGACTAAATCCTCCTCGCCCCCCTCAGGAATCTGACGATCAGGTCGTGCTTTCCCAACGACTTACCTTCAACTGCATCGTGATGTGCGGCAATAGCGGCAATATACACTTTAAGGGTGGAGGGAGACAGCCTTCGCTCCAACCCATCTTGCTGGAAAGAAAGCACGGCTCTGACCGAGCAAGTTCGGGGGTTCTCCTCGTGAGAAGAACACCAGTCAACGAATAGGTTCCACTTCAGCGCCTCGTAGAGGGGGCTCTAGCGGAAGTGATGGTGTCAACTACCGCTGGGGGTAGGTCACCTAGAACCCGGCCAAGGACCAGACATGGAGTTTCCAGAGGTCTGGACGTGGGTGCCAAAGGGTGCCTCGTATCTGAGAGAGCAGGTCCTCTCTCAGAGGAATGGGCCAGGGAGAGGCTGTCGCGAGGAGCACTAGTACGGCGAACCAGGTCCGGTTGGGCCAATACAGCGCAACTAACAAGACCTGCTCCTCGTCCTCCCTGACCTTGCACAAGGTCTGTGCAAGAAGGCTCACTGGGGGAAACGCATACTTGCGTAGGACCGGGGGCCAGCTGTGTGCCAGAGCATCCGTGCCAAGGGTCCCCTCGGTCAGGGAATAGAACAACTGGTAGTGAGACGTGTCCGGGGCAGCAAACAGATCTACCTGTGCAGTCCCGAAGTGCCTGAAAATCAGCTGGACCACCTGGGGATGGAGTCGCCATTCTCCCGGCAGCACCTGCTGCCGTGAGAGCTCGTCGGCTGCGCGGTTGAGCAGGCCAGGGATATAAATGGCACGAAGCGACCTCAGATGCTCCTGACTCCAAAGGAGGAGATGGCGGGCGAGTTGTGACATGCGGCGGGAGCATAGACCACCCTGACGGTTGATGTACGCAACGGTCGCAGTGCTGTCCGTACGGACCAGTACATGCTTGCCTTGTAGCAGCGTTTTGAAGCGGCCCAACGCAAGATGTACTGCTAACAACTCAAGGCAGTTGATGTGCCAATGCAGTTGAGGCCTCGTCCACAGACCTGAAGCTGCATGCCCGTTGTACGTGGCCCCCCAGTCGGTGGCAGAGGCATCCGTGGTGACCACAGAGTGCCTGGACACTTGTTCTAGGGGAACACCTGCCCGCAGGAACGAAGGGTCCGACCACAAGCTGAGAGTTTGGCGACAGTGCAGGGTTATTTGGACCCGGCACGAGCCGCTCTGCCACGCCCATCTTGGGACTCGATCGTGGAGCAGTGTTGGAGCGGCCTCATATGAAGCAATCTGAGCGGCTTTACCGTGGCTGCAGATGCCATATGCCCCAGGAGCCTCTGAAACAGTTTCAGTGGTGCCGCTGTTCTGCGTCTGAGCATGCTCACGCAGTTTAACACTGCCTGGACGCGGGCCTCTGTGAGGCACGCTGTCATGTTGATCGAGTCCAACTCCATACCGAGAAAAGAGATCCTCTGCCCGGGGGTGAGTTTGCTCTTTTCCCAGTTGACCCGAAGCCCTAGGTGGCTGAGGTGACTGAGCACCATGTCCCTGTTCGGCACGCTCGCACATGGGAGCAATGGCCGCCTCCGCGACTTTCGTGAAGACACGGGGCGACAGGGCCAGCCCGAAGGTTAAGACTTTGTACTGATATGCCCGTCCCTCGAACGCAAAGTGAAGAAACGGTCTGTGTCGAGGGAGAATCGAGACATGAAAGTACGCGTCCTTCAGGTCGATCGCGCCCTCTTGGGACCCAGAGGTTTCAGAATTTGCTCTTTTGTTGAAAATGTGGGTACCACTGGCCCGTGGGTCAGTGGGTCCGTGGGTCAGTGGCGGAACAGAAAGAAAAGGAAACAAAAGATTCTACGCCCGGCCCTCCACCGGGGGAAGGAGCGGTGCCTTCACCACCTCCTGAAGAGCAACTTGGTCCACCTCTGGGTCGCCGTCTCAGGGTCGTTTGCACCTGCGCTTGCCTCCTGGTTTGGCAGCTGCCTGGACGGGCGTGGTCGACTTCCTGCGACCTGCTCCACGCTGAGGCCTGGATGGTGGCTGCTGCTGCTGAGGCTTAGCAGGAGCAGAGGACGCCGCAGGAGGTCGACGTCGGCGACGAGCGGACGGAGGGTCTGTGGCCGGCGGACGGGTGGGAGCAGCAGCGGTCCGCCGGGGCCGGATGTGTCGGATGGCCTCCGTCTGCTTCTGTGCGGCCGAGAACTGTTGGGCGACGCTCTCGACCGCGTCGCCGAATAACCCAACCTGGGAGAGAGGGGCATCCAGGAACCGATATTTATCGGTGTCCCTCATATCCGCCAGGTTGAGCCAAAGGTGGCGCTCCTGGACCACCAAGGTGGACATCGCCTGACCGACTGAACGTGCGGTTTCTTTCGTCGCTCGGAGAGCGAGGTCAGTTGCCACACGGAGCTCCCGGAGGAGCTCTGGGTCAGAACCACCCTCGTTCATGTCCATGAGTGCCTGGGCCTGGTGGACCTGCAGAAGCGCCATAGCATGGAGGGCGGAAGCAGCCTGTCCACAGGCTCTGTAAGCCTTCGCCGTGAGACCGGACGAAAACTTACATGCCTTGGACGGGAGGCGTGGATTGCCCCGCCAGGAGGAAGCGGACGCCGGACACAGTTGCTTCGCGACGGCACGCTCCACCGGCGGGACATCCACATACCCCTTAGCTGCTCCGCCATCGAGGGTGGTGAGGAGGGAGGAGCCACTAGGACGGCTCCTGGCACTATACGGCGCCGTCCACGTCCTAGTAAGCTCCTCATGCACTTCCGGAAAGAATGGTACCGGGGCGGCGCGCTGAGAACCAGCAAGGCCCGCCCCGAGAAACCAATCGTCCAAACGAGAAGGTTCGGGATGTGGTGGAGGGTTCCACACAAGCCCGACCTTCTCGGTGGCCTGGGAAAGCATAGCCGCCCATTCTGGATCAGACTCGGGCAACGCTACACTCCCTGAAGGGGGTAACGCAGCCGAATCTTCATCTCCAGCGGACTGAAGCTCCCCCTCCGATGCTGCGATAGACATCTGGTCATCAGGTGGAGCTCCAAAGGACACGGCTGGTCGTCCATGAGCCTTCCTTTGGAGGCTCCAACGGCGGCAGCGCTTGTGAGGCGTGAGGGACCCACGGAGATTGCCTCGGCGGGGAAGCCCTCACGGTAATCCTCAGATCACCCTGACCATGCACAGAAGTAGGTCTATTCTGAGGTCCAGAATAGATGCTAGATCAGGGCATAGGCGAGGGGACTGCACCTCCCTTGAGGTAAGCGAGTCTCAATCTCAGCGCTGTCATAGTCGTATTCCCGCAATGGGAACATGAACTATTCACAAAAGCTGCCTCAGCGTGCTGAATGCCCAAACACGAGAGGCAACTATTGTGGCCGTCTGCTGGCACCAGGGAACAGTATCCAGACCGCATCCAGAAACGCACAAGCGGAATGACATCCTGAAAAGGACGCAGGGTCACACTTGTGTTGCTCTTTTAGTTGAAAACAAAAAATATTAAAAATAAAAAATAACTCTCTCAGTGATGAAGCACCCAGGGATAGCCGTGGTGTAATCGGGGTACACACTCACGAGAGGAACGCCCACCGAGACCGACACATACAGATACACACACACACACACACGCACACACACACAAGCAATGCTGTGAAAACAGCAGTTGTGAGCTGTAATGCTCGCGGCCACCGCTGATCGCGCTTTCACACCAGCACTGGAACAGAGTATTTTCTTTTTGAAGTATTCAACGATGCAGCAGTCTGCAGAAACTCAGAGTAAAAACGAAAGCTCGGCTCCGAAGCGAAAGACAATGAGTGCGTGCGCCCGCTTCCTGTTTATACCCGCGCTGCGGGGCAGGGCGCGTGACGCTTATCACGCACGCCAACATTCATTGGCTCGTTCTGTAGACACTCGAAGTTGATAGGGCTCCCTGAAGTGATCCCAATTACATCGTCACGTCGAACGTGAGCGACTGAAAGGGAACTATAGTTATTTTATGCATTATTTTTGTTATAAGGAAATATTATTGACATTGCTGGATACAAATTGAATGTAGAGCTTGTTTGTTCCCCAAAATCATGTCAATAGTACTAGTATGTGTCATTTACACTTTCGCATAGAAACTCACTTTAATATTTACTGATTTGTAGGTAAAAATAATTACAAAATAGTTTGCTCAGAGTCGAAATTCTGATTGGATGATTTCTGTTCATTGCCATAGTATAATACAGATAAAAAATGTGACTGCTAACTCAATGTCTATAAAATACAGATAAACACACACCTGTGATCATATGCTCTTTATTAATGCTGCTACATTGCTTAGCAACTATATATAGCTTACTGTTAAACTGATTAACTAATATTACTTTGTAGAAGAATTGTTGATAAATTGCAAATAAATGTAACTTTAAAATAAATAAGCCACTCAAAGCTCTATCTTGCTGGAATTTACCACAGGCTTTTGGCACTTCGCCTTGCGTTGTGCCTAAGAACACCACATACCTGTGGTAAAATCACTGAAATGCATGAAACACCAAAAATTTTCATTGTATGCTATTGTATACTAAACAACACCTTTCCCTGCAGATCGGAGAATATGTCTTCGTCATCTTCATGAGCATTGAGCTGAACCTGAAGATTATGGCAGATGGTCTGTTCTTCACTCCCACTGCAGTCATACGAGACTTCGGTGGCGTCATGGACATCTTCATCTACTTAGTAAAACTCCAATTTCAGCTGCTCTCCTGTGAAAAACCCACTTTCCGATGCATGTGAATGGCAGCCTTTGATCTGATTACTCACTTCTCTAATGAGGCTCTGAAGATCCCTTTTTAATTACCCTAAACAGTACTTTACTTAAATGACCAAGTCACATCAATTTCATCCTGTTGACTCATTTTAAAAGAATTCTGACAGTTTCACATAAACATTGTTTGCATTTAATAGAACAGCCTACACTTCCAATGCTGACTATATCATAAGGAATACTTATTGCATTTATATTAATAAAGCAATATAAATGAGCCATCGCAAAATCATCTGCAGTTAGTGATTTCACATTCAAGATCTGGAATCAGGGAAGAGCTGTGCCCTTTAAGGTGATCTTTCTGCCCACTCTGTAGGTCAGTCTGATCTTTTTATGCTGGCTACCAAACAATGTACCCCCTGAGTCTGGTGCCCAGCTCCTCATGATGCTACGCTGCCTACGCCCACTGCGTATCTTTAAACTGGTGCCGCAAATGAGGAAAGTGGTTCGAGAAGTCCTCAAGGGTTTCAAAGAGATCTTCCTGGTGAGTAAGCAAACAGGTCCACTTCCTGCCTTTAGTCGCTCAGTAAAAAGAAAGCAGAGATGACTGGTTATTTGACTGTTAATTCTACTAAGATATATATTGGTTGTGCTAACATTTTTGCGTAAAGTGGTCATATTATGTTCTTTTAACATTTACTTTTTAGCATTATAGTTTTACATAAGTTTTCCATGTCTTTTGTTGTAACATTGTTTCAGTAGATGAAATTTTTGGACAAAAAGGTTTGCGTTCTGAATCGTAGTGTATGTTTACATAGTACATCAAACTCTTTTATTTTAAATTCGCCGTGATATGTCCCCTTTAATTGCAAGGCAAGAAGCTCTCTTCTTTGCAGTAGTGGAATGTAATAGATTAACTCGGCAGTATTTGTCCTGGAGATTTCTTTATGGACCTTCTTTATTAAAGCTTTACTCCCCTCGGGTACTTTTCTGTGAGCTTATTATAGTGTTACTGTATATGAAAGTAATGCACTGACCAGATTTTGTGGGAAAGCCATTTTGCCGTAGACTGGATTATTGATTTCCCAAACAGGTCTCTATTCTTCTTCTGACACTAATGCTGGTGTTTGCAACCTTCGGGGTGCAACTCTTTGCTGGAAAACTTGCCAAATGTAATGATCCCCATATCTCCAGTAAGGTACAAGGCAATTCTTGCAACTTTTCAAATTGTGTTCAGAGTGGAGGCTCTTCTGTACTTCACTAAAATGTTGTGCTTTGTGGACTTTTTCAGGAAGACTGCCACGGCATCTTTAGAATCAATGTGAGCATTTCAAAAAACCTGAATTTAAAGCTCGGACCAGGGGAGAAAAAACCAGGATTCTGGGTGCCAAGAGTTTGGTATGAAACAGAACAAGAATGCTCTCTCTCTCTCTCGCTCTCGCTCTCGCTCTCGCTCTCGCTCTCGCTCTCGCTCTCGCTCTCGCTCTCGCTCTCGCTCTCGATCTCGCTCTCGCTCTCGCTCTCACTCTCGCTCTCGCTCTCTCGCTCTCTCGCTCTCTCTCTCTATATATATATATATATGTCCAATGATAAAACAGGCATACAAACAATAGAAGCACATTGAATAAAGGACCCGAGTCATATTTAGGGACCAGAATATCATCAAGTCTAGTAAGGGCCAGTTTACAACCACTTACACTAATAACTCCTCAGAACAAAATAGCAAACACATTGTTACACCCTGGCAACCACTCAGAATACTCTAACAACTCGTCAGAAGAAAATAGTGACTCCACAGCAACAAAGCTACATACTTTAGCAACAACTTAGAACACCTTAGCAACTGCACAGCAATGCCCTGACAACCACTCAGAACACTTTAGCAACTCCTCAGAACAAAAGAACCACATAGGAATGCTCTGGCTACCAGTGACTTTTGTATAGGTGCCATTCAAATTATATTTTGAAACTTTTCAAATTTAACATCCAATTAAAGCAAAATAAAATGGTCTTTTTGATATCAACTTGATTAATGAAATTAGAACATTTAAAGAGAAAAATTGTTTGGTCATTAATTTTTTGCTTTTCACAAACAAACCAAATTCAATTTCTTTTAAAAGCACTGAATAATTCAATACAAATTGAACCTGTTACACCTTCAGTGTTAAGGTGTTTTTGAGAAATCCCTGTAGTAACATCTCATCTGTGACAGCACAAACCAGTATGATGAATGCTCTCATCGCATAAACAGCACCACATTTTCATCATCTTTCATATGAATTTTCCCCATAAGCAATAGTCAGTGTTGCAGTACAGTTGTACGGTTTGTCGTGGGCGCAGAGCAGGGTGCTGATATATCTTTCCCTCAGGCATAAACACAAACAACACACAATCATACACCCACACACCAATGAGTCTGTTATTGCTCTAGAGATTTGTGGCAACACAATGGCAAATTATTTGTAAGACATTAAGTAACGAAGACCACCAAAACACACAAATGGGTCCATAGCACTTCTAGAATGGTCAAAGTTTCTGTTAAGGCTGAATAAAAGAGGGAGAGAGAGAACGAGACTTTTTGACTTTAAAGGGACACCAGGCAGAAATCCCATTTTTGTCAAACAGTGACCCCTAGAGTCGCTGTGGAGAACTTGTATTTAACGTTAATGTCGTAAATACCACTCACGCAGAGCGTGACGTGTTACATAGTATACAATAGTAGCTACATTGTGTTTAATTTGTCGTTTAATGAGATCTAATATATGTTGTTAGTGGTGAGAATTTTCACGTGATTAAATACATAGATCCGACAATTATCCCCATGAACTTCAATGGTCCAGTGGCAGAACTTTTGCCAAGTGTGTCAGAGGTTCTGGGTTCTAATCCGTACTAGTAGTATAGTTTATTTTCCTCATCAAAACCGATTGTTTATTAGTGATTGTATATCAAGCATGGACAAGTTTTTTGTGCATTAGGTTTTGTGATTTCACCGTAACAAATATAGAGAGTCTCTCAGTTCCTGCAACGGATTGAGGCGCGCGTCCGTGTGAAGACTATGCGCGTCACAACAGAACACTGTATCCACGCCACTGATCGCAGTGGCAACAGTCTATGAGCGGCAAGCACTTTGGTCACTTGATTTCAAAAACAACACATTTCAGATCGCCTCTTATTAAACAAACGAACGAAATGAATGCTCTACTAGAGTTAACTGGAGATGTTTTATTTGTTTGTATTGGTACATCCGTGCCGCGAGATGTTTCAATGGGGACATTTCACACCCGCAAATTACGCCTATGCTCGTGTCTGACTCCTGGCTCGGTCAGTCTGCCGTTTCCTCTTTCTCTGTTCCTCCGACAATGCTTTCCTAGCTTTCTGCATCTTATATGCCGGCTCAGCCGTGTGACAAACTCTCCATCCCTCTCTACATTGTTCCTGGATGGGGGTGTGTATGTGTGCAGTGCCGTAAAGGAATATGTTACATCGCGAGAGCTGATATCACGCGATACTTCCTGACGCGGCCCGCCGCACCAAAGTTGCAAGTGGGATTTTTCCGCTCACAGGCACCAGGGGGGGGGGGCGAGACGGCCACCATTCAACCCGAAAGAAGTCATATAACCATTTCAATAACTCTGAAGCTGTTCAGTTAAGCTAAAAAAACTGCATAGAATCCCTTTAAAGTTCTTTAATTTACAATAAATAATCTACTGAATCATGAACAGAAACACAACTACATTATTCTTAAAGGGGTCATATAATTGTACATGCTCTTTTACAAGTTGATTGTACTGAAATGTGTGTTGGCAGTGCCTGTACACAACCATCATATAATGATAAAAATCCATCCAGTGTTTTTTTTTTTTAAATCTCCTTTTCCCGTCTCAAATCGAGCCATCTGACCGTGTGACGTCACACGGTCGGACGCCCCTCCCACGATTGTTGATTGACAGCAGCGTTTCAACACAGACCCGCCCTGAGTGACATAGCAGTCATTTTGATGTTCCTAAATCCGAACCGCTGAAGACGCAGTGGCTGAGTTTTGTTTTCGAAGGGAATATTCCCCACAATCAACGTCAATGCTTTCATGTTTGCGCGAATCATTTCTCACCAGACTGCTTTATAAACGAGGGTCAGTATAAGCTGGTTTTGCTAAGAAGCTGCTCCTGAAAAAAGAATCAGTACCAACTATTCGTGTTCCTGCTGCACCTCCAGAAGAAGTGAGTGTAAAGTTGTATTAACCTTTATATTAATCTTTGTAAATCGCTTGCACACTTCACGATGAATGCGGCTAAGGTTTACGCTCAGGGTACATTACGGCATGTTTTCAATGTACAACGTTCTCAATATAATTCATAATCCCACGTTTATAATGAACAATGCATTATGGTTATTGTGTTATTACATACTGTGTACGCAGGTGTTAAAGTTAACGTGGTAACACTACACTAAGCTTACTTTTGTAGATGGTTTATAACGGTGTCTGTTACTGATTAAGTAGTAATTTTAAAAAAATCAAATTGATACGGTTGCACAGATGTGTCCTCAGAGACTCCCGCTGCCATTCTTTCTCCAAAATTTCTCAACTGTTGTCAAGGCAACACTCCACGTGTGTTGTGTCAAAACGCCCCATAGAACAGAGAGGTATATGATAAAGCTTAAGCTTTAAATGATAAAGCTCATTATCATTTAAAGACACATGCACTTAAATGGCTTGCTGAAAACAGAGCTGTTTTTGACCAGGTAAAATTAGTTTTCTTACAATACTAATGAGAATTTTTAATTAAAGTATATTACTAACTTTTCATTTAGACCCTAAAGAATCATATTAACTTGTATAAAATTGGCATTATATGACCCCTTTAAACAAAAACACATATCTCACAAAGTCTTTAAATATTAAAAAAACACCACAATTTAAACATACAAATTTAAAAGACCATCATAAGTAACCTCACAAATACAATTATTAAAAGCCCATTTGAATTTAACCTTTCTGTATATCTCAATAAATGTATCTCTTTCTTATATATAGTCCTAAATATCTATCTAATAAAAACAACTTTAAACACTTGTCCCAGTCTATGACAAGCAAGTAATCAGGTGGATGTAATCAGTACATGATTAGTCCAGGCAATGGGAAATTTAGTTCATGGTGAGATAAAGGAGACTGAAGGAGTGCCCTCTGGTGGAGATCATGAGCACTCCACCTAGTGGTTGTGACACAGCCCATCTGAAGATCCCCACGGTGGAGCAGAAGACCACCACAGCAGAGCAGACAGGTCTGAAGCAAAGAACACAGAGGTTAGGGTTGTCCTCTGGGGCTGTGTCAAAACAGGCAGGAAGTTCAGTAAATGGCCTCCATGGCCCTAACAGGGTTGGCAGGGCGTTCCAGATTGACCTCTGTGGTCATGACATGACAGACTGAGAGTTCATAGGCGACCTCTGTGGTCGTGACAGGACAGACAGGGAGTTCAGGGATGACCTCCATGGTCATTTCTAGGCAGACAGGGAGTTCACAGGCAACCACTGTGGTCGTAACTGGACAGGCAGGAAGTTCTCATACGGACAGTGAAGCAGAGAGTTCATCAGTGGTCTCCTTGACCATAGCAGGACATACTGAGAGTTCAAGAACAGTAGCTGCCACCTCAAATAAACTAGGTCAGGTGCCGCCGCCTCGGGAGAAACTGAAGATGTGTCCCAGACATAGAATGACCATTGCCGTAACTGGGAGTGCAATCAAACGTGGGAAAACCTCTGAGACCCCCAGACTCGAAGACGATGTCAGGACCACTGAGATGCCAGCTGCTCGCACCGACATCAACGCCAAAAAAATGTTTTGCGGAAGCGTTTTCCTCTACCTGCCCCACAGTGAAGGGAGAACCGCTTAATGGGAAGGCGTAGTCCAGGAACTCGCCCAGCAATCCTGGAGGACCATCACGGATCATTGTGGATTGCAATGGGTTGTTGAGTCCATAGAAGAAGAAATCAATGAGAGTAAAGTCTGGATAATTGAAAATAGCAATGTCCAGAAAGTCCTTAATGTGGTCCTTGAGTGAGCAAGTTCCTTGGCAAAGGCAGACTAGGGTGAATGCTGGATCCATATAATGGTCTGGATTTCAATCGGCTGCTGGATCTGTATATGGCGAAATCTTTCATTACATAGTGCTCTGAGACTTGGGTCAGAGATCCAAACACAGCTTTAGGCTCAATCCCAACTCACCCCTTGCCCCTACCCCTTGGCCCTACCCCTCCGTTTTGCGCGTTCACGTCTAGGGGTAGGGTGTCCCGATTCTTGTTGCGATAGAGGGGTAGGGCGAAGGGGTAGGGCTACATAGCCCTCGAAACGGAGATTTTTCAGAGGCACACATCGAACGGAGGGCTACGAGAAAGTTCCCAGT